TTATTCCCAGGAAGGTCTTGATGGAGATCCTAATCTGCAGCTAGGATTATAAAAGCAAGTGCTTTGACTCCTATACATTAGAGAATTTGCCAGGCCTCCTTGGAGAACCAGTAAAGAGAGCTTCAATCCTAATGAGTTTTTTAAATGGTTCACTCCTCCATCCTACAGAGTATTTTTTCAGCTTCTGAGGGTCGTGTCTTTGGGAATTCACTTTAGGACAAAAGAGTGCTGAAGACCATTGGGTTCTGTCCTAGATTGTGCCCGATAGTGAAATGATTCACTTTTGAGAAGACAGTGGATAGGACCATGACATAATCCTCAGATGCAGCTATAAGGTAGTTTGTCCCAAATTCTCAAAGCAAACTGTAAGCTGTGGAGAAGTAAGTGGCTCCTCAGAAAACCTTACCAAATAGCAGTAAACAGTGGTGGGGACAGAACCTTCAACCATTGGACATAGTGGTAACCAAAACAGTATTGGCTGTGGTCTGGCAAGATGACCCTGGTAGCAATGATGACTGTGACAGGGACTGCATCCTGCATCCAAAGAGAGAGGATGCTTTGTGAGCATTCAAGGAAAGAAGAACAAGGACGTAGATGATGATGAGTCTAAAGTCATCAGGATAATTCCATTCCTGTCAATGAATGATATGAAACAAATGGTACTTTCCTGGGGCTGGAGAGATGGTTCAGCCGTTAAGAGCACTGATTGCTCTTACAGAAATCTGAGTTTGAGTCCCAGCACCTACATGGTGGCTAACAACTGTCTGTAACTCCAGTTCCAGTGGAACTCAATGCCATCTTTTGACTTCTTTGGGCATTAATCAATGCTTACTAGTAATATTGGATACTGAACTAAGTCTTTATTATTATATTAATTTCTCAAAATGTAATAGTCCCTATTTAAAGTTTAGGAAAATCAGGCTAAAAATGTTGAAGTCACAAATCAGAAATGTGCCTCCAAACCCAGTGACTTGTGTTTATAGCGGAAGGGCAGAGAGGGCTATCCAGAGCTAGCAAGCTTAAGCAAGAAGGAGCACAGCCACCTCATTTGGTCTACATGAGAAATAATTATTGTTTGGAGTAAAGGCAGGAAATTCTAAGGGAGAAACGAACAATAAATTGACAGTAACAAATTCAGCAGAATATGATGGAACAGAACAGAATAGAACAGATCAGAATAACAGGGAGAAAATTGAATAATAGAATAGACTGGATCACAGTAACACCCCACATCTCTATATGCCCATTAGAGAGTCTCTCAGAGTTGAGCATCTCATATTAGTGTCTGCATATTTAGATACAGGAGTCTTTGGTAGTTTAAAATAGGATGGAAGGTATCCAGCACCACTTACCTTTAGTGGACCAGACACTACTCTGCTGTGGCCAAGGCACTGCCTCTAGATTTTTTGAGAAAGATATCAGTGGCTTTTGTTAATCTCTATAGTTAAAGGAGAGTAAAACAGCACATTCAGATATCTTAGCTTCCTTTCTGTTCCTATGACAAAAATACCTGGTAAAGGCAACTTTGGGGAGAAAAGGTTGATTTAGCTTAGAATTCCATATTCTAGTCCATTGTTTCCAGGAAGACAAGGCAGGAACTCAAGCAGCTAATCACACCACATTCACAGGCAAGAGCAAAGAGAGACTGAAGGTATTCTTGCTTGCTCAGGGTCCCTTGCCTAGGAAATGGTGTCACCCACAATGGGCTGGGTCTTCCTACATTAACAATCAAGAAGGAGCCCCACAGACATGCCCACAGGCCAACATGATCTAGATAAATCCTAATTAAGACTCTCATTTCAGGTGATTCTAGGTTGTGTCATGTCCACAGTTAAAACTAACCAGCACACAAGGGATGGATCATTTATCCTTAAGGACACTGAAAAGCTTTCTGCTAACTTTTGTGATATAGATCTTCACGACTTATGGAGCATAATTAGCAAGCATTATGATACACATTTAATCTCTTTCCCCTCATTCCATAATGTAATGTAGTGATTAACTTTGAGCACCCTTGAGCAAGTGACTTAACAATTCTAGGCTTCAGTTTCTCCCTTTGTGAGTTTGGTTATTATAAATGAGTTAATATTATAAAATGCTTGGAGCGGTGCTTGAAACATAGCAAACTTTATAATAAATATTACTCATTATTGTAATTATTGTCCCACCCCAGTGAATTGTCTGCATAACTTATCTCTACATGATTTGGAGAACTTCCTTAGGTAACAAGTAATTTCTCTATTTTACTATCTTCAGCATCTAAAATATCTAAGCTCACAATATAGGCTTAGATCACAATATAGGCTTGTTCATAAACAAGTTAGTGATCATTACCAATGCTGTGGTCCACACTTACTCCTCTGAGCAGCTATCAACCTACCTAACCTTAATACAGAAGCATGGTCGCATTGTCATCATTGGCATATTACAACATATGGGTAGCGGGATACTTTGTGCATCCACAGCTTTATCACACAGGTTAGCTGGAGACAGTCACAGGAAACACCTGTCCAGAGCTGTTTAAACCTGCTATATTTGAGAACACCCATAGGTGTCTTGATAAGATGTTTTTAAAAGCCAGACTATTTAGGAATACTTATCGGTCACCACACTTCTTTCAAATTTTAGTTTTAAATATTATGTAGCTACAAAGAATAAGCTTAAATGCTTTAGAACATGTGCATGGCTTTTTATTGGACCCTATTTTGTTCTACACCAAAGTCACCTCCTAAGATCTATAATCCATATTTGAGACTCTAAATATTTTAGGTTGTCAATTTATAAGAACCTTAAAGTCTTAAAACATCAGTATTTAGTGTCTACCTACAACTCAGTCAAGCTAATATGTACATTTTTTTCTTGATTCTCTCTTCCTCTAAAAAACAAAAACTTAACGCATCCACTCCCATCACAGGGGTTCTGGAGAAGGAGAGAGCCAGACGCCTCATTCAAAACTACAATCTCATGTACAGCCTGTCTCTGAGTCCTCGGAAAATCGACCAGGCCTTGCGGAAATTCCGTTCAGGAGAAAACTTGCTCTTAGAGCCAGCTCTGCGGTACTTAAAGGAGCTGTGAGAACAAGTCCATATTGTGAGAGCAGAAGCTTCCCTCATTTCCCTTGTGACCCAGACTTGGGCTTCTCCTCAGCCTGAGTTCAGTGTTGTCAGAGTTGAGGCAGATGTAGTTCTTCTAAATGCTTTTGACTTAGACTTGATACCTGGCTATAGTCCTTCCTCATGAATGGTTCAAAGTAGAGAAACCAGGTTTTCTCTTCTACATAGCAAGAACACAATTACTTAAAGTGCCCTTCTACGCTAACAGTGATTATTATTAATGTTTGATATTTTTCTACATTGCTAGCAAACTGTCCTTAAAACCACATAAATTCACATAGAAAAGGCATACTAGATGCTATTGACTCCCTGGAATGTCTGGTACAGAGTAGATGACATTAATATATCTTAAACATGCTGGATTTTGTTATCCCCCAGAATGTTTGGCTACATAATAGACCTTAATGCATCTTTTTGTCTTGGTTTGGATCTGAGACAGGTCTCACTTTTAGCCCAGACTGGCCTTCAAATCCTAATCCTCCTGCCTCAGATTCCCAAGTGCTTCAGTTAATCATTTCTTATGTGGGTAAATAATCCCTTAAACTATTCATTATTCTAGGGAGAATTTTCACTATAAGGAAAATGAAAGATTTAACACTTTTTTAATAGTAAGGAAGACACTAATTCCAAGTGAGATTTTCTATGTAAGCCCAGTAACTTCACCAGTACAAAACTAGACAATGTGAACAATATCTCCGGAGATATTTCCCAGAGGAGTTTTAAGGAAGGACACCTCAGACAAGATTCAGAATGCTCTCAAGACAGGAGAACCTGGAGAAAGTTTCTACAGGCAACCTGGATGTTGACTTTCAGCTAGTATGGGAGACAGGCTAAATGAGGTAGGACAGGGGACAATCAATAGAATCAAAAATTTGTCAACATACCGTTTTGCCTATTTTTATACTTTGGTGTTCCATGGTGTTTCCTGAACAAACCTTCAGGAACAAAAGCATTTAGATCCACTAAAACAAATCCTTAGTCTTTACAATCCTCGAGTTGTCCATAGGATGCCTCTTGAGGCAAACTGACTGCTTCCTTAATTTCTGGAACCCTCGACCAGCTTTGTAGATCAAAAGAGTAAAAGCAAATATGGCTTTCTCATTCTTCCAACATGTCATGTGAAGAAAATGAGAGTATTAGGTCTAACAATTTAATGTGCCCACTGAGTGCCCAGAACTTGACACCAGACTCTGACAGTTCAGTAAGGCAGGTTTCACAGATGAAAAACAGGGTTAGAAAAGTTGATTAAGATACCTTTGACTTTTCAGGTTAGTAATTTTCCAGAGAGAGGTGGCTTCCAGGGAACTCTGGTCAAAAATACTTAAGCAGGACTCTGGTACACCCTTTATTTCTGGGGGGAAGTGGGCAAGAGAGGGAGTTTGGTAAAGAAAGATTCTAAAATATGAATTGGGGTAAATAAACTAAGCCAGACTCTCAACAGCAAAGATTTTACCCTGTCCAATGTTTTCTATCCGATAACGTTCTTGGTCTGTTGTCTTTGTAACCAACTGATGTGTAGGGTGGGGGAACAGACTCACTTACAGAGATTTTAATGTAATAAGTGTTCCCCAAAGCTGTGTGACCACAGGTAGAATGTAACCTGTGCTCAGACAGTGTTGGCTGAATAAATTGCTTTTCACATTTTATTTTTAAATTTTTATGTGTATGAGTGTTTTCCCTTCATGTATGTAAGGGCACCACCACATGTGTGCAATGCCAGCAGAGGCCAGAAGAGGGCGACAGGTCCCCTGGAACTAGAGTTAAAGATGGTTGATAGCTGCCATGTGGGTGCTGGGAATCAAATCCCAGTTCTCAGCAAGAGCAGCCAGTGCTCTTAACTGCTGAGCCATCTTTCTAGCCCCTGAATGACTACGTCTTAATGCAGGCAAGCCATGGCCAAACCATGGCCCATATCCTCTACTAGAAGAGGAGCAGGCTACAAGAACAGCTAAAATGCAGCATGTGCACTTATAGGCAGTAGACTTGCAAGTACCTTTATGTGGAAGACAGGCTTGAGCCTAGGGTAAAAGTCTTAATGACAGCCATACAGCAGGCCTGAGGCAACAGCCCTACTGCTGGAGCCACAAGGAACTCCTTGTGACAATTGCTCCCATTGGCAGATCATGAGACTGATGCCTAGAGCTCCCCACTCCCTAATCACCACCCTTGAGATTCTAAATTGCAACACTTAGATATTGCAACAGCCTGGGTTACATGTCCCAGGAATCCAGGCCCCATACAGGAAACCAGAACCTAAGTAACCTGAAACTTATCCTGCTTAAAGATGTCTGACTCACAATGTCATGATAGGACACAGCCCAGCCAAAGATCTGAGTTGTAACTTCTTGATTGGACCCCCACCCCTATATAAGTTTGTCCCTTTCTACAATAAACTGGATGGATCTGCATCAACGAACCTAGTCTCCTGTGTCTGAATGTGGCTCCAGCTGACACGGTCTCCTCACCAACCCTCTGGTCACGA